GGTATACTGGCATTTCGGAATCTTGCCCCCTCCAATTTGCTTTTAAATCCAAAAAATTCCTGGCCTTCAAATAAGGCAAATTCTGGATCCCAAAAAACCTATTGGAGACCCTCCTTTACCATTCGGCCTCAAGCATGGAACGATTTGCGTATTAAGGATCACTAAATTTGCGGCAAACAAAGCAAACGGGAAAATGCGTATTAAGGATCACTAAATTTGCGGCAAACAAAGCAAACGGGAAAATGCCTGGGGAGGGGGGAAGTTATTCATTACAACCAACTTTGGGTGGAGATGAGTGGCTGTCAGGGTTTGAAACCCACCCTGATAAAGATAATAAATTCGAAATAAATATCCTAAAATACATAACCTGCTTAGGACAACACCATGAATTTAATTACCCTGTTAACGAAAACCGACAAAATGAACTTTGCCTTGTTTGAAAGTAATTTAATGGTAATTGCAATTGAGAATATCAACTTCATAGTCCCTGCTTTTGTATACTTGGAGCACAAAGTAAATTTCATCAAACAACTAAATCAACTCAATCGTGCAGGCTACACCCGTTCACAATAATAGGACAGCTTGCAAAAAATTATTTACCCTCTCAAGGACAGACTGGCATGCAAAATTAGAAATTATATACCCTTTTTACAGGACAAGACAAAAACCATACAAAAACTATACCCTGTTCAGTGGCACATTACCATACAGGCCGTATAAGAGAGTACCCCTGCCCAAAAATTGGATCATATTTTTACATAATCTTGAAGCTGAGTCTTTAGGCAGATCAAAGGTTGGGGAATATCCTTTCCTTTTTAGCCAGCCTCCATAATGATTTACCAAGAGACAGATTTTATTAAGACATTCAATCACAAGAAATTGAAGCAAGGGGTCAAATTCTCCAATCCCTAATGTACAGAAGAGAAGTGTCTGTCTCATAGAGGGTCAAATAAAGGGAATAAAGAAAGGCAGGGACCAACTCTAAGTGTCCATTTTACCAAGTTGTCCATCTTGTAGAGGGTCAACTGTAATCTACAGATAATTTAGCCAGGGCTAAAGGCAAAGCCTCTGTTTTTTTACTTACAGGTATAATAAAAGCAATTAACTTTAAATAACGTCATAAAATCTCCGCAACTGAAAAGAAATCTTTAAATCCTAACTTACATGTATCTTTAGGAGCCTTTCATTTAGTCTTTGAGAAAGGGGCTTAAGGTGATAAAGAAAAAACATCCTGCAAACACCCCTGAAATGGAAAAAACTTCCCTTTAAAAGTCAACATTCTTATGCTTGTGTTTTCACAAGGCAAATTTACTACCTGAACATTCTTTCAAAGGTTTTGTTTACAAAACGACTGTGACAATTGTTTTCACTGTGAAATTTAACCCGCAATCTAAGCTGCTAACACAGAGGATTCAAATAGCAAAAGCATGCCACACTCAAAAATGGTAGGGGATGAAGCCCATATTGTAATGACTTCTCTTGCGATTATTCTAGCCATATTTTTGTGAAGCAGAGAGAGTTTTTTCAGCGAAAGAGGCTACATGTGTGTCTCACTGCTTGTAGAGGGAGACAGATGAGGCATAAATGGAAGTGGAAATACTTGTGATGGGTTGTAATGCGGTAAGTGGTTCTGCACACCAGTGCTCTGAAAAAGTTAAGGACCTGAGGAGGAACTGGAGGATCCTATGGGGTCAGTGGGAATGTCAAGCGAAAGAAATGATTGTTGAAATTATTTGCCACGTTGAAGTTCTCATGCTCAACCAGGAAGTAATTGTTACCAGATCATTTGGCAGGCGTCTGTCACTATGAGCGACCCAATTGGCTGTGGTATTTATCAGGACAGGGTATACCATCTTGCGAGGTAGTATAACTCTGCTTGAATTTCCCATCGTAAAGGTGAGAAAATCCCTTGTTTTTACTTGTGAAAGCAGCTTGCATTTTTGACTAACTTAAAACAACAAAATATGTTTTCACTGTATTTCCAGACTTTTCTGGCTTTATCTACAATCGGTGACAATCAGGTGAGACACCTCCCCCTAAACCGGGGTTTTTTTACATTTTACTGACTTCAAAAGGGGAAAATAAACACCCCAACGTTGAATGGAGGGGACAGGGAAGTGGTGTGAATTCTTTTGTTCTCTGAAGTTACCCTATTTGAGCACAATGTCTCAATAGTTTTGTCACCGATTGTAGTAAAAAATGTCCTAGTGAAAATACAACCTATGTTAACACCAAAAAAATGCATGAAGTTTTATCACAGAATCCAAACCACATCACAGAACCCCCCACCCCCCATCAGAGCACCTTAACCATGGTTTCTTGAATAAATGGCAAATTTTATCCCTTTTTAGTTTTCCCCCTGAGAAATCAAACGACATTGTTTTAATACCCCTATAGTCCCTAAGAGCATGCAAAGATGGTGGGTATTGCGAACAGGATCTATTTCAAACTACAGCAATGGAGGCCCTGCAAATGTGTCAAATGTCCCGGGTATACTGGGGAGGACATTGCAGCTTCCATTTGACTGATACACATAAGAAAAACAATATTATTGAGTCAGGGACAGCAAAGAGGGATAGGCTAGCCTGATCTAATCTTTAGATCACAAGGCACAAGTTGTACAAATGTTGGATAGCACTATTCACTGGATAAATCATAATCCAGTGGATAAGTATTAAAAAAACCAGGATAAATATATATTCAGTTGAACATTATTCACCTCTCTTACAACTGGGCCCAGATGCATAACCCCTGTGTAAAGTAACTTCAGCAAAATAATTTTCATTCACATGCTGACTTTTTTTGTTATCTTTGCACACTTGTCATGCTATTTCTCTCTTTTATTTGAGATTATTAAACCAACACCTTAGCTTGGGTTGCTTGGTTTCAAACTGTATATTATGTTCAAGAGAATGCATGTTCAGAAAATGTCTCCAGATTAACTATGTTGTAGGTTACAGTTCGACAACTGTGACAACAAGACACAACTTGTCAACAAAGTTTGAAGCTATCATAATTTGTACAGAATGTCATATCGTAAGTAATACACCACTGATTTACCACTTCAGTGAACCAGCTTTGGGTATTTGCAGCTCTTGGCATATTCAAACCCATAATATAATTGGCAATTCTGCAGTAAATGGGTAGATTGCTCACCACCATGCCACTAGGTAGCCCAACCAAATTTATCTGTCAAATGATAAGCACCCCAGAACAAGCTTACGCCTGTTTCAAACGTCGTGCTACTGCCGTGCTAAGCTGGCTCGACTGTAGCGCGACTGCAGCACCACACTAGCACGACTTGGTTTCAGAATTTAATTCAGTAGAATAGAACGGCTGTTGCCGAAAACAAAACACAAAAACAAAGAAACAGTTTAGCAAACTTTTAAATGTATTTTAATGTATATTTCATAAATTATGTATGAATTGAGTACGGCAAGGCGGTAGCATGACATTTGAAACCAAAAGTCCAGCTACTGCTGTGTAGCACGGCAAGGCTTACTGTGCTACACGGCAGTAGCACAACTTGGTTTCAAACATCACGCTACTGCTGTGCTAAAGTCATGATCAATTGAGTTCGACAGTTGTTATGCCATCAACAAAATCCACTTGATCCACCGAGGTCGATTTTGCCTTGATCTCCCCAAGGGTATTGCCACCCACCCTTACCAAATCCATCTCACAGATTGCAATTGAAATTGATTACTACTGTTTCAAGCATCAACAATAAAGTATACACTTGTTCTACATGGGTAATGTACGGTGGCCCACAGGGGACATGCTGCAAATAAAAAGTTGCTGCAAATTAAATAAAGTTGCTGCAAATAAAAGCAGTTGCTGCAAATTAAGTGACAGGAAAGTATGCGCACACACTGATGGGAAGAGGAGGACTCAGTATAGTTGTATCCAGGGCCCACTCACGAAATGCTTGGCCTTATCCTCAGTGACAGAAAACTTATTTGAGTTCAATGGAAACAATTATCTTCAAACCCATGGAGTTGCATTGGGCATAAAAAACAGCAGTGTCCTTTGCAAATATCTACAAATACCAATTGAAACGTTTCATTGGTGACGTTTCCTTTCTTTGGGACTGTAACAGAAAAGACCCAACTTTTTGTTAAAGAAACTAACAAATCCCATCCCAAAAATTAAGTCCACGGCCGAAATATGAAATTACGAAATAACTTTCCTTGATACAATAGTTTTCAAAGGAGAACATCTCACGGAGAAATCCATCTTCATTGGACATCAAATCCCACTATAGGCCAACTAAAACCTTTCAATATGTACACTTTACCTCGTTCCACCCCTTGGGGTAAAAACAAGTTTCATTAAAAGCAAAGAAATAAGATTGATTAGAAAAAACTCCTCAGAAAAAAAGAAAAACATTTGAAGAGTGCCTTGCGAACTCGAAGCACACGAATATCCTAAACCAGATATAGAAAGGTTGTTGTCAGGGGTCAACCTTGACTCGAGACACTGATAGAAAAAAAAAAAAATACAGAGAGACTATTGCCTTTCATTACAACATATAACCCAGCGGTACAAGACCTTAAAAAGACGTTGATGGCAAACTGGAGTCTACAGGTCTAATAAAAAATCAGTCTCTGCAGTGCTGAAAACAGTTTAAGACCTTCGATCATATCCTACAAAAGACATGCTTGAGTGCAAAAATGTAACTTGAAGGCAGTTGATAGTTCAATGCAACCACAAAAACCACATTCGGAGTCCATGCAGGTCTATCTTTTACTTCCTCACAACTATACTGAGTCCTCCTCTTGCCATTAGTGCGTGCGCATACTTTCCTGTCACTTAATCTGCAGCAACTGCTTTTATTTGCAGCAACTATTTTTTTTTGCTGCAATTATTTTTTATTTGCAGCAACTACTTTTTATTTGCAGCAATTTTATTTTATTTGCAGCAACTTTTTTATTTGCAGCATGTCCCCTGTGGGCCACCGTAGGTATGGCGTACACCCGGGGCAAAGTATTAAAAAAAATACTTACAGACAACTCTACACCAAAAAGGGTTCCAAGAAGGGGTGGTACTTCGCCAATGTACCAAACAATTCCGTGTAATTTCTTGCCAAATCCTTTCACTTCCACAAACACAAAACTTCCGGGTACAATTTGTCGCCCGAAATATAATCGTTTCTCATTAGTAAAAGTCTGATACCTTAAACCTGCTGAAGAAATGGCCAAAAGCAAGTTGGCATCTTCGCTTGTTAGTTTCGCTATGCCTTCCGTATCACATTCAAGACGTAAATTCTTTCGTTCAATTCCAGCAAGAGCTATTCTTGTTGAGTCGTTCGGTTGATCTTTTTCTGGGAGAGCCTCCATTAACTCTCCTTTAAGAAGGTGTGTTGGAGTTGACACTGAACGACCAAGAGACAACATGCTTCTCTCCTGTATATGCCCAACAAAATCTCGAAGAAGGATATATCTTTTCCTTGCCTCTGCCATACTAAAATGAAACTAATCTATCTGTCTTGTTGCATAATTTATCCTCATCAAAAGACAAAGTCTGATTATATGCCCACAGTCTGTACCGCCATCTTTAGGGAATTTCCCAACCTCGTTTTCATACATGACGTATTGTCCTATTTAAGGTGGCTCCCTAGAGTAAATTGGCTGTGCGCAGCCTGAGCACTAGTATGGCGCCAGCTTTAAAATCCGCGCGACGTCCACGCAAAAATGAAAACAAACATGGCCTCTCAGTTTCGAAATATTCCACCCCCAAAACTTTATCAACTTTCTGTTAAAGTTCATTGTGCAAAAAGTTTGATTAGTGTAGGTCAAACATTTATGAGAGGAGACAATGTTACACCGGTTACAAGTCAATATCGATCTCCATAAGAGTAAATTGTACGGAAAAACAAAGCAGAAATTTTCCAAAGACAACAATTCTTTCGCTTCAAAAGAAGACAAACGTTAAATAGTCGAAGTAAATGGTGGGTGGAAACTTTACGTAGAAAACATAGAAGTAAGTACACTAACTCAGAAGGAAGCAATGTTGCTGTTTCTGGCCTTTGGTTCACGGTCAGTGGAAAGATCTGAAAGATCGAGCCAATTCCCGAACAAACACTGAAGATTGTCTTCACTGGCGGAGCTCCTCGGTCACTTTATTTCTCTTAAATTTGATTTGATTTAATTATTCTAGAAGTGGCTTTAAGACAAGATAACAGGGAGTGTAATTTTTTTTTGTTTTGCCGACTCTATTACATTGTTAAAAAAACTTATCAGAAAAAAGGTTTCCCACTGAACTTGCATCCTAATCGAATTCGAAGGAACCTTTCCATCGACGAACCCCTTAACATCCTTGCATTTTTTCTTGTTTCAAACGTCCTTCAACCCACATGCAAGACACACTAGAAAATGTTTTTGCACAACGAGAAAGAACTTTTACTCACAGATTGACCCTTGAAGAAAGCAATAGTTGTCCGTCGAGACCTACGGTCTTGTACGTGTAGCTGAGGACATGATGTACGATTTACAGATCGGCGCCATCTTCTACAGCAGACTTCGCCGTCGAAATTATCCCTAAAGAAGAACAAGGTTGAAAAAGTATCCGGAAGTAGGCTGACATTTGAAGATGTGCAGACAGTGTACAGCAGATTACGAAATGAAGGGCTTATTGCGACCCTTGCACAACCACCGTCTTCATCTTCGACGATCGCTATCCTCACGAGTGACCACCACGTTTCGAATTTTAACTACAGTAGTCAAGTACTTCGAAGAAAACATCCTGTGTTAGGTATAAAATTGAATCCGCTATCTCTCCTTTTTCAACTGGCGAGATATCACCGTAATAGCGGAGCTCTGGCGCGCGAAGCGCGCCTGCGGAGCACCATGGGTAAGTAAATCTACCCATTCCAGAAAATTTGGTTATCACGTGACCGTACACCGCCCGCCCGTCCGCCCGCCCGCTGCTCGTCCGTCCGTACCACAAGCATACCAATGTTTACTCTCACACTTTTTAGCTACTTTGGGAGCCCAAGAGAAAGCTGATTGCACATCAATGTTGTCATCAATTGACAGCTGTCAAAACAAGGTATCCGCTGAGCAGTATCACCTGACCGTATTGCGGGCTCAGGTGTCGACCCATCAAGGTCGAGTATTTTTTTGAAACTATCCGCTGACAATTTATTCGTTTTCAAATGATCGCAGGCTCACGTTTACTTACTTTTTAAATTCATATCAAATATGCTGTATTTATGTCAGTATCGCCCCGCACTATTACGATTTTGATTTCAAACTGACCTCAGACGCAAAAATTCAGCCAGTTTTTTTAAAATACAGGCGGGTAAGACCTTTTCTAACCATGGTCACGTGTTGGTCACGCTCCACGTCCTATTTTTATGCTCTGATTGGTTAAAATTTGACAGGTGAGTTCATGCGTAAAATTTATGCAGCATCTTGAAAGTTGTTTACTTTGACAGCTGAAGCTGACAGAGTTTTGAGTTAACTTGTGATGTTTTTAACTGTCTTTTTCCACTGGATGTAAATAATGAAATACAGCTAATAATAAATAAAAGGATGGTTTGCACGCACCCAGATTTATTGGCAAGAATTTGTAAACTTTAGCCACAGCTAAAAGCGAAGCTCTCATTGATAAATTTATAACTTAAATCAAACAATAATTTTGTATTCCACAAATCAGTTAACTTAAGGGCACATTCATGTGACTTTTCAGGGAAAGCTAAGTGATTTTGGAGTGAAACAAACCTTGTATCGAGTTGACATAGCCTTATATGTACAGCCAAAAAAATAGTCTTCGGTCACATTTATGAGCAATGATGGCTCTTGATCACAGTAGATAAGGCGTGGAAAACAAATCAGGCCGAATTTTTTGCGTTCGACAAGTTTACAAATTCTTGCCAATAAATCTGGGTGCGTGCAAACCATCCTTTTATTTATTATTATTTTTTTTATACACCACATCTGAGGAGAAAGAGTACTATGAGGCGCTCTTTTTATCATACAGACCTCGTACAAAATGCAGTATTTCACAATAGATTTTTCAGGACAAATTGCATTCATTCAATACTCAGGACCATCGACACACGCGTGGACTTTTAATCAGCGAAACCGTTCAAAAAATGTCCAAAATCACCTATACGGCCAGCCGGTTCTAACTTTCGACAAGCGCCAAATTTGCGAAGAAATTTTAAAAGAGTTACGCTTCAACGAGATAAATTAAAGAATTTATTGAGTCTATTTTTTCTTAATGGTTTTATAACGATGTGTAATCTTAAAAAGCGTTTGATACGCTCAGCATTTTGAGTACTCCTGCAAGCGATGTTTATGAACGCCTGAAAACAAACGGCAAAGCGATGAAAATTACACTTTTGAGACTACCAACAATCAATAAAGAAATATAATTCGGTAGAACATTTACAGAGACAACAATTTTCATTCACGAAAACAAACGAGTATTTAAGTGTCTCTAAGAATCCTCAAGTCTTTACTAGTAAGCTTAAAGATTAACTTTATGTTTTAAGCCGCCGGTTTCCCGGTGTTTGCTTTTTTTAAAGATGAACTCACGACAAGAAAATCGCTCAAAGCTTTCTTTCTACAGCCAAAATTATAACTAAATATTCTTCGGAAAGTTTTTTCTTTCTATTTACGGTGAATTAATATCGACTAAAGGCTTTTTAAAGTTTTGTAAGCTCAAGCTTATATCAAACCTCATACTAGGTCAGATCAGTGTCTCAGTCAAATCTTAATACAAACGTGCATAAACTAGCTTCATAAACTGCGCCGCTGGACTTCATGAAATTAGATATAAATACAATAATTACTCAGGCTTACCATATTTCGAGATGCAGCTCCTGAAAGCTATCAAGTAAGGCAAGGATCGCTTGAACCTTTATAATTCTCGTACGCATCCAGCAAGGTGAAAAACAAAAACGATGCCATCCGAAATCGGATTATCGGCTTTGACAAGCGACGCATTTCTCAACCAAAAACCCAATAAACAAACCAGCCATGAATAAGAGGACACTCTTGATAGCAGCTAGCTGTATTTCATTATTTACATCCAGTGGAAAAAGACAGTTAAAAACATCACAAGTTAACTCAAAACTCTGTCAGCTTCAGCTGTCAAAGTAAACAACTTTCAAGATGCTGCATAAATTTTACGCATGAACTCACCTGTCAAATTTTAACCAATCAGAGCATAAAAATAGGACGTGGAGCGTGACCAACACGTGACCATGGTTAGAAAAGGTCTTACCCGCCTGTATTTTAAAAAAACTGGCTGAATTTTTGCGTCTGAGGTCAGTTTGAAATCAAAATCGTAATAGTGCGGGGCGATACTGACATAAATACAGCATATTTGATATGAATTTAAAAAGTAAGTAAACGTGAGCCTGCGATCATTTGAAAACGAATAAATTGTCAGCGGATAGTTTCAAAAAAATACTCGACCTTGATGGGTCGACACCTGAGGCCGCAATACGGTCAGGTGATACTGCTCAGCGGATACCCTGTTTTGACAGCTGTCAATTGATGACAACATTGATGTGCAATCAGCTTTCTCTTGGGCTTCCAAAGTAGCTAGAAAGTGTGAGAGTAAACATTGGTATGCCTGTGGTGCGGACGGACGAGCAGCGGGCGGGCGGGCGGGCGGGCGGTGTACGGTCACGTGATAACCAAATTTTCTGGAATGGGTAGATTTACTTACCCATGGTGCTCCGCAGGCGCGCTTCGCGCACCAGAGCTCCGCTATAAATTGTTTTAAAGAAAATAACGACAAACGCATTATCGCAGCCATAAACGGCTTCAAAGCGATGGCTTTCGCACTCTTCAAAGAAACCACATGTTTTCAGTAGCTTTGTGCATTATGCGCATGCGGGCGTGATGGCTCGCGCGCGTATTTTGCTCACACGACCCCGAATCACGCGTGTTTTTCGGATTTTTGTGACGTCAGCGCAGTTAATTAACCGTGAATTTCTCGCGTTTCCTTCGGTAAATTTTTTTAAAAATCGCCTGATTTCTTAATAGTCGCAATACCTTTGTACTGTCATTTTTTTGTCAAAATCTGTAAGAGCTAAACTCCGCTATTAAGAAAAATTACAAATTTTTTAAAATATTGGCAAAACCGTATTAACGACCCTACGTTTTTTCACTTTAAAATGTTAAGCAATGTCGTTAATATAAAGTGGCAAAGTTTAAAGACATTCCACCGCGGGAAATTAGAAATATTAAGGGAAAATGGGCAAAAATGACAAAATTACTGCCTGTTTAAGGATGCGACGTTTCCATGGCAACGGCTTTAATCCAGAAAATGAAACTTGATAAGGGAGCCTTCTTATATGGGTAACCTTAGCGGTGAAAAGCAAAGAGAAAGTAACTAGATTTCCTTCTGTAACGTATGCTTGATAGCTCGGATTATTAGCAAATACTCTAGGGAGCCACCTTAAGTCTGACGATAAAACGGTTCGTCACAGTTCCCGGTCAGG